ACTCACTCATTTGTGTCCTTGTTTGTGGTGAGCTGCAGTGTCATTGGCACTTTCATTGACTTCGCAGTGGCACATACCTACCATAATGTGGGGTGAGTGCCTCCCCCCCCCCCAGGGTTAGATCGTATATTTTTAGCTATAGTAAAGAGCCTGTAGTGACATATGGCTATTATTTTGGAAAATTTTTATTGTATTCTAAACGTGTCAATTCTTTTTACTCGTATTGTGACAAGCAGGACTGTCACTGGTGGGTAGTGGTACAGTGTAGCCCCGTTATAACGTGATGGTTGGGGTCCATAAAATGTCATCGCAAAAAAGCGGGTTCGCGCTAAATAGGGGTTATATACATGGCTATATAAGAGCAAAAAAGGTGGTCCAATCGACTCATCGCGTTATATCCGAATTCACGTTAAATCGGAGCGGGTAAAATCGGGGTTCCGCTGTACCTGTATACTACTAGCTACATTACCTATTTTGCTCTGTTGATTTCTATGGTAGTATGTACCATGAGTTATAATAGGTAAAACCACAACTGTTTAACTTCCACACTAGAATTGAACTTAATTTTGTTGTTAGCTCACCTTGACATCGTCAAGCTGAGCTATTGCCATGGGTCGTCGTACGTCGTACGTCCGTCCGTCCATCCGTCCGTCCGTCAACATTTGGCTTCGGTCAACGATAACTCAGGAACCGTTTGACCCACATGTTTGAAATTTGGTGTAGTTGTTATACTGCTATGCTCCCATATTAAACGTCCTATTTTGGAGCACGCCAGTCGGCGTACTTTCGAGCCACGGCGATTTTTTGGCAAAAATGGGAATTGCCATTAGTCAGTTCAGGTTCAACGGATTTTGCTCATTTTTGGTATGTGTATGAATAAGGGCTAAGGGTTTTGATATTTAAAAAAAATTTATGCAAATTAGGTAGGGTTTGGCAATTATATAGCATATTATATAGACACAAACAGTCTGTGGTGTCACACTCGTCTGGTTCGTTTTACAAGATTTCATTGACAATATCTTTAATGCAAAATTGGTATTTCCTCTCCACCCTGCCGATGAAACGTCTATATTAGAGTAAAGTTTTACAAAACATGTCGGAACGCAGCATAACCTATTTATTTCAAACGCCATCGCTACAAAGCGGGTATAGCGCCATCTACGGTCACAAATTGTGATTCATTTTGGTTTATAAATTATTATTGCGATATACAGATGGCAATCGTTTCTATAATGTACGTCGATGGTTGCTCAATTAAAACTGACTTCTTCCTACTCACTCATTTGTGTCCTTTTTTGTGGTGAGCTACAGTGTCATTGACGCTTTCATTTCAGGAACTGCTAAATGAGCGTGAAATGTTACTCAGTGTCATAAAAAAGCAAGATGCAGAAATATCTCATCTACAAGGCACTATATGCTTGTTAAATAAGAGCATAAGTGATCTTCAGGTAGAGTGAACTTCACAGTTTTGTTTTAATATAGTTTAGAGATTATCATGTTGAATTACATGCATCATCACGTTAACAGTTGCTGTATGACCCCCGTACAATATCAAATGAAACATGTAAATAGGTCTTTACCTGAAAATGTCATGAACTGGTTGTAATCACTGGCTTAAGATGGTGGTGTCACTTAGACTGGACACACAGCGAGATGATCACAGATAAATCCGTAGCATCGTGGGCATGAATCATTCCAATGGTTAAAACCCCTATGAAAATCATGTGTAGTGTAACCCACATCCGTTTTTCGAAGAGAAATTTTACTATTTTAATGTCATAGGAAGCATATGGTAGAAATATAATATTGCAATAATTCTTTGATGTTTCAATAATATAGGCTATAATTACGTGTTTTAAATATTCAAATGCAAAATTATAACCATTGGTACTGTTTTGTAATTCAATACTGAATTTTCTATTTCAGGAAGCTGTGGCTGGTAATACAAAGAGGCTTGCTGATAGCAACAAACAAATACACATTTCTGTCAACTCCCGTCTGCAAAAAATCGAGTCATGGCAGAAAGGTTTCCCAGTGATTTGTGTTTTTACTGATTCTTCAATTAGCTCAATTATTTCCGCTGTGAAGTCTCGAGCTTCTAGCAGTTATAGTTTGCATCACTGTTGAATGAATTAGTTGACTTGATGTGGTAGAAGAGGGGATACTGGTTTAGAGTATAATATTATCAGGGTTTCTTATACATATAAGAGGCACAGTGGTGAACCACCGTTGTCAAATTTAACATCGCTGTTGTTAAAATGTTCCTGTATTTACCTGCCATTGTCAGAATAGTGTCAACCTAAAAATAATTAGATCACCGCATGCATAGATCCCCCCCCCCACGCATCCGCATACGTGTCTACATCACGCCTTTGAATCCATCATGCATGTTTTTTCCCAAACTGGTCATTACCTCCTTTGTCTAATTTTCCCTAAGAAGAAACCCTGATTAATAGTTTAATTTATAATGCAGCTACAGATACATTGGTGTATCCGAAGCTTTTCAGCCTAAAGTTAGTTGTCCCATCATGCTTTGCAATCAAACTAATGTGAAGCATGTGTTGCCTGTGAACTTGTGATGCCATTTTGTGATTGGCTTTCATGTAGGAAATAGCTTCAGTTCTTTCACTAACATCAAAAGCATCATTTGTTGGTAAGATAAGGCGTGAAAACACTTTAAGGATTTTAGTACGGTTTAGCCCATGAAGTCAGATAACATGGTGTTCCCTTACATAGTGGGGTGAGTATATTTAGCCTGTGAACGGTCAGACAACATTATGCCGCAATATCTCTATGGAGATATTTAATGAAACATGATTAAAATGAGAAAAGTGTTATCAATACAGCATTCACTCATGAAAGTCTATTGTTTTGTTTTGGCCAATAAAAGAAAACCTAGTTGAACTTGAGAAAATAAAGTCACTGAAGCAAGTATCAGAGGTGGGAGATACGGGGGAACAGAATCTTGGCAGAAGTCGGATCACTCTCACCACTACCTCAATAGGTATGATAGCCTTCTTTAAACTCGTTACGATATCATGAATGAATCGTGCAATCATCATGATGTCATTAAAGGTCAGATTGTAGCCTCTGCGTTATAACAGCTGTCACCGTTTCATCTACCTTGTGTTTTCTAGCTGCCGGCATTAATGATCTTCGCACTGAAGTGATGAGCAAGTTGGAGGGTTTTGACTTCAGCTACAACGGCTCACTTATATGGAAAATTAGCAACTATAGAAGCTGCAAGCAGGATGCTGTCGCTGGTCGCAGTCCCTCACTTATTAGCCCACCATTCTACACTAGCAGGTAATAGCATTGATGCCAGTCGCATGTTTACACTTTCTTATTTAAATTGCGTTGTGAGATTACTACCATTGATACTACACCGTCACTTTCTTTTAGGATGATATGTCCAGGATCACAACTAATTACAAAAATATTTCTAAATTTCAAAACGTACGTGACATGAGCTTACCAAATTGACTCAATATTGGGAAATCAGACAGAAATGTTAGACATAATGTTGAAAATGTTGCATATAATTCAAACATGTCAACTTAGAACATCCACGAAGTTCAAGTATGACAACTCTATAGCATGCTCATTACACGTGCTGATAGCGGTCGACGTGAGAGTGCGACATAGATATCATCATCAATTCACGAAATGAAACGTATGATAGGGCATACTTGCTAGGTTGTGCTAATCATCTAAGCAGCTTGTAAAATTTGCATAAATACATATTGCGTGGGGGGTGATTATATCACGCCAATATGCAGCTGCGCGGTAACTATTGCTCATAGGGTCTATGTCCCCTAGGGTACTGCCGGAACGTACCCTGGGTACGGTCCGGTATACCGGAACGTATATCTGATATGGTTAGGGTTAGGGTTAGGGAGTAGGTGTAGGCGACTCCCTAGACTCGTTAGTGGAGTAGGCGAGGTAAGGTCCGGCATATATTAGATAGTACCAGGGTACGTTCTGTCAGTACCCAGGGAGACATAGACCCTCTCAGCGTAACTATGGCATGTTTTTTGTTTCATAATTCGATTTTTGTTTTATGGTTGATTTTATCACATATAACATTCGATTTATCACATATAACATTCGATTTATCACATATAACATTCGATTTATCACATATAACATTTGATTTAGTGCATATAACATTTGATTTATCGCATATAATATTTGATTATTTAATCATATGTTATATGCAATAAATCGACAATAATTCCCTGTTTTAAATGTTCACATTATTTGATTTTATATCAGAAAAGAGAATCAGACCATTCGATCCTGGCATCAAACCATTCGGTTTTGGAATCAAACCATTCAATTATGGAATAGAATCGTTCGATTTGGAATAGAATCGTTCGATTTTGGTATAAATTTCAGGATCGAATGGTTTGATTCGCAGATCGAATGATTCGATTCCAAAATCGAACGATTCGATTCCAGAATCGAACGATTCGATTCCAAAATCGAACGATTCGATTCCAGAATCGAATGATTCGATTCCATAATTGAATGGTTTGATTCCAAAACCGAATGGTTTGATGCCAGGATCGAATGGTCTGATTCTCTTTTCTGATATAAAATCAAATAATGTGAACATTTAAAACAGGGAATTATTGTCGATTTATTGCATATAACATATGATTAAATACATACATAATTACATATCATTCGTTCTGCGAATCGAACTATTCGATCCTGAAATTTATACCGGACCACGTTTCCGACTCTAGCGCCATCTATCAAATTCAAATAAATTCAAATTCAAATAAAGTTTATTGCACAGATAATCGCAGATCATACAGGCAAATAGTCTACAAACTACAATAAAACAAGTTCCTAGGCTAATAAAAACGAGAGAAACGATGTGTCTTATACTACTTTGACATGACTGCATGACACATGTTACATCAACAACTTATATCAACATATATACATGTTATATCAACAACTTATATCAACATATATACATGTTATATCAACAACTTATATCAACATATATACATGTTATATCAACAACTTATATCAACATATATACATGTTATATCAACAACTTGAGCAAAACGGCACTAGTTCAACTTTGGAGCATTTTTACATTATGATAATTAATAAATTTCTGTAAGTATTATAGCTCATAATAAGACTGAAGTGGTCGTTGTCGTATCAGGTGTGATGTATTCACATAGATTTATTGTATGTGTATTTTTATAGTATAACAAACACAACGGAAACATGCGTCTAAACAGAGGAATTGCTCCGACCTGTGATTGGAGGATAAAAATAGACCCCGCCCACTTTTCCACTTTTGGAGGATAAAAATAGAATTCGTGACGTTTCGTTTCACCGGTCATAGCCGCGCGTGCATATTTGCTAATTAATTAGACTAATCGCGCTTCAATAGACTCAAAATTCACAGAGATTACGGCTAAGACATGTGTCTATATTAGCTAGAATTTATAGAAATGTAACTCAAATCGTTCGCTCCATATGATAGTTAGTACACGTTCCTACCTGTCATAGCATAGCGTATGCGGCGGGAGTGGGCGGGGTCTATTTTTATCCTCCAATCACAGGTCGTAGCAATTCCTCTGTTTAGACGCATTTCAACGGACAATGCAGTGGCATCATTACTGTGGTCCTTCGCTATCCTTCCGACCTTATCCTCCGGGGAGAACAACTAGCGCCATCTAGTATGGGCAATATTAATATAATGAAACAATACATTATATCCCCTTCCTGGTGGATTTTAACTGAATCAGCTTCCTTATAGTCACTCACTGGATAACCATTGATATTGGTTTCACACAAAATTACACGAATAATTAATGCAATAACATCAACTTTGGACTATTTGCTCAAACACAAATTACTGTCTTAGAGCCTGATGCTCATACAGATTAACGCTGAAGGTTAACTCATCCACTATAATCATAAACTGGAGATTAGATTTCACAAATTGCTGTAAGCCATCTGCTTTCACAACATTCTCATCCACTACAGTCCAACTCTAAAGATCAAGTCTCTCTGGAGCCTTCCTCATCCAGGTTGATCGCCTTAGGGGAATAGGAGGTGATGACCTATTTGTAGGTCAGTAGGTTTGACATATCTGGCTGAATCAGCATTTCATTTTCAGCTTCTGTTGAGTGTCCCGTACGCATACAGTGTCACTGATGGGGTCATGTTCTACAATCTGGTGTAGTTCGGTTTTGATCACACGCTTCAGGAACAATGTAGCAGGTGCAACGTCTGTTGTAGAGTGAGGAGTACATCTGTAAGTTCTAAGAAAACTTTGTAGGGCCTTTCTCCAGTTGACTCCTTCGACTTTCGCGATTTTCACATGCTTTTTCAGCATTCCGACGAAACGTTCTACTTCACCGTTGGCTCTAGGCCACAAAGGGGTCACTTTGCGATGCCTAAAACCCATAGTTTCTGCGAACTTGGCAAACTCCTCTCCGTTGAAAGGGGGTCCGTTATCAGATTTCACGGTCTCTGGTGTCCCAAATGTTGCGAAGATTTCGTCTAACTTTGGAACTACAGCTGCTGCTGCAGTAGCTCCAAGAAACGGTATTGCTAGGGTTAGAATACCCTATATATAATGTATAGACAATCCGTCGCACAGCCTGGTCGGGCTACTGCTGCAGTTGATCGCACAGGTACCACAAATGGGAAACGTGAATAATCGTCTATGAACAGCATCACTGTTTCCCCCTCGATGTGTGCGGAATCAACACTGGTAAGTTCAAACACCTTTCCAGGTTGCATGGTTGGTTTCAATGGTTCACGGTTGGATACTGGTGTGGCAATTTGGCATGATAGACACGATGTGACTTTTCGTTCTATCAGTTTGTCCATGAGAACCAAACTTTTTCTCTCATAAGAGCCTTAGTTTTCACAATACCAAGATGTCCCTCATGTGCAATGTCTACTGTTCTCTCCTGAAGTAGTGCAGGTATGACGATACAATTCGACTTTAAAAGCACAGTTTGGTCTGCCGTGCATGTCAACTCAGTTTTGATTGGCTCGTATCTCGACAGTTCAGAAACACTGACACCAGGGGAAGGTTTGTACCACTGCCCTGATTTCATGCACATGATGTATGCCTGTATAACGGGATCACTCGCTGTTGCAGCTTCAATTTCGCTTAGAGTCATTGCCTTTGGCACAGCATTGCGTACTATGTATGCAATGTGACCGTCAGTTCTCTCGTCTACACCCTCAAGCGTAGATGTAGCAGGTGTACTGCTTGGATGTCTCGAACCGTAGTCTGCCGGGTTCTTGTCACCTGGTTCATAATCAACGTGAAATCGATACCTCTGCAGGTCCATTAGCCAATGCTCGATTCTTGCGGACGGTTTTGATGAGAGGTTTATTGAACAACGACACAAGTGGTTGATGGTCGGTCACGACTCTGAAGTCCTTACCGTATACATACAGGTGAAAACGCTTTACTGCCCAGTAAATTGCCAACGCTTCACGATCAATCTGGGGATAGCGGGATTCAGTAGCAGTAAGTGGATAGCTAGCGTAGTACAATGGCACAGGATTTCCATCTACACCCTTCTGGGTGAGCACAGCTCCAAGTCCAATTGGGCTTCCATCTGTATAGATTACAGTTTCCTTTTCAGGATCTGTAGTAACCAAGGGTCGTCTCAGCAGATAAAGCATTCTTGAGATTCGTGAACGCAGTATCTTCTTCTGCTGTCCATCTCTAAGGTTCATCCTTGTGTGTCAACCTTCGAAGAATACGTGTGATGGTGGCAAAGTCCTTGATGTAGCGTGAACAAAACGCCGCAGAACTCAGTAAGCTCCGTACTTCAGTGACGGTGTTGGGCGGTTTCAATGTCTGAATCTCCCTGACTTTCTTGGGGTCTGGTGAGATACCTTCACCACTAAAGATATGTCCAAAAAACAACATTCTTAGTACACGAACTTGACACTTCAACAGGTTCACGCGCAAGTTGCTCTCAGTCAGTCGCTGTAACACCATTCGAAGATGCCGGTCGTGTTCTTCCATGTTTCTTCCTCCAACATGATGTTTCTTCCTCCAACATCACTGATATTCTTGACACCTGGTATGCCACTGATGACGTCACTGACAATCTTCTGAAAGATTTCCGCTGAACATGACATACCAAAGTTCAAACGTTTATAACGCCATAATCCGACATGAGTTGAGAATGTGGTGAGATGGCGTGAGTCAGGATGTAACATGATCTGGTGGTAGCCTTGCATTAGGTCAACCTTACTAAACACTGCAGCCATTCAGGTCAACTACAATGTCATCAATGGTAGGTATGACATGACGTTCACGACTTATTGCTTGATTGACTGCACGCATGTCGACACAGATGCGTATCTCGTCACCTGTTGGCTTTGTAACGACAACTATAGGTGATATCCAAGGTGTTGGACCTTCAGCTCGTTCTATTATGTCAGCCCTTTCAAGTTCATCCAGTTTCTGTTCGACTTTCTTTCTGACGTGAAAAGGGATACGTCGATGAGGTTGTGCTACTGGTTTTATCGATTCATCGACAACAACCTTGACAGGATCACATCTGCATGTTCCCATCCCAGCGGTCACTGTGGGGAATTCACTCATAATGTCTGTGTCAGGATGCGATTTTGGTTCAGACACACTGTTGACCAATGTGATCAGGTTTAACTTCTGAGACGCTTTCCAACTCAAAAGCGAACTGCTTGGTCCATTCACCACGAAGAATGTCTCTCTGCAAGTATACTGACCATTCGATGCATCAGCTTGGAATTTCCCAAGTAGATTGAGTGGTTCTGCTGACATGTATGGGTACACTCTCGAATTTGAGTGTATAAGCTTCGGCTTGTTCTTTACTGCGAGATAATCTGTCTCGTTCAAAACATTCACCGATGCCCCAGAATCAGCTATTACTCGCACTGGTGTGCCAGCTATGTTGACACTGAACAGTGGTTTGTCACGGACAGTCATGTTGGTAGTGTCAGTTAGACGAAATGTATACTAGACGATGATTGTCATCATCAATGTCATTAACACTAAAATCACACTTGACAGCCAAATTTTCAGATCGACTGCCTTTTATCTCAGATGCGTTCCCTATCTCTATTGCAAGCGCTCGGTGTCTGATTGGTCTGTCTCGTCCGTGCTGACTGATTCATCCCTGTGATTGTGCAGCTGGGTTTCCTCAACACATCCTTGCGAAATGATTAGATTTTCCACACTTATGACAAGTTTTCCCTCGAGCAGGACACTGTTCTTTGTGTGGATACGAGCTGCCGCAAAGCCCACATGTGGTGTTTCGCTGTTTGTCAGGCTTCACTTGACGTCTGCCGTGATAATTGGCACTAGGCTTGTGTTTGTTTTCCTGATGAAACGGTTTGCTGTTCACTGCATGTGACGTCTCTCGATCCATTTCTTGAGAATGTTCATCTGCAGTTTCCATTGCGTGAGCCGTTTTTAAAAATTGCTCTAAGGTTAAGCCTTGTTCTATTGCTTTCCTCCGTAGGCGCGAGCTTGAAGTGCCTTGTATAATTTTTCGTCTGATCTCGATTTGTCGTCTTGAAAACCACACTTCTGAGCCAGGATCTGCAGTCTAGTGTGAAATTCTGTCACTGATTCACTAGTTCTCTGTATATGAAAATTTACGCTGTGGCTATATGCCCGGCAGCCGGCACCCTAACCCTCCTATTTACTTGAGAAATCACCGAAAATTAAAAACTGCCGGGCATTTAGGAAATCGAAGACCGTGCCCAGCAGCCGTCGGATATTTTCTAAGTGTCGATTACGAGTTCGTTCGCTCAGTGATCCAAAGCTAGGAGAATTGGGCTAGTTCGAATATACAGCTCTAACGAAAATTGCTTGACATTTCTAAACAAATGTAGAATATTTTGGATCACGTAGTACACTGTTTACTTGAGAAATCACCGAAAATTAAAAACTGCCGGGCATTTAGGAAATCGAAGACCGTGCCCGGCTGCCGGGCATATAGCCACTTCGTACTATTATACATGTAAAACATACTAAAAACAAGACACATAGTAATTTACATTAAAAGTATAATAAAACAAAATTACAAAAATGTAAATGGAAATAATTATATATTGTGCATTCTGCGGGCCGGCCGGTGAGCACAAGATGCTTCGATCGCTCACTCCCTCTCTCCCTCCCCCTCCCTCTCTCACTCACTTACGACCTCGACCCCCTCCCTCCCTCTCACTCACCTCACCACCCTCCCTCTCACTCACCACCTCGATCCCTCCCTCCCTCCCTCTCACTCACTCACCACCTCGACCCCTCCTCCACTACCCTTTCCCTCGTCCTCTACCTCTTCTACCTCCACCCCTTCTCCCCTCCTTCCCCCACTACCTTCTCCCTCGTTCTCTACCTTCTCTCCTTCCTCCTGTACCACCTTCTC